CACACACACACACACACACACACACACACACACAGAATCCCAGCAAGCCCCCCATCGGTGGACGCCATCCAAGTGTTCAGACTTGCCTCGGATGCCCCCAGTTATGGCGTTAAAGGGGGGTGGGAGCATCTGTAAGTTTCTCGTTGAAATTTTACAATCTCCTTTCATCAGAGCCGACCCATGGGGCCAGGCATAAATGAGGTTAACCCTTCAGCTGCCTGAGGTCTCATGTGCACAGGTACACCGAGGGGCACAAGTTTGTCTGCATGCTCATCAGATCGCAAAAATTCATATTTACAGTCAAAAATACAAAAAAAAAAAAATCATGAGATTCCGTTGAGGGTATAAAGTGAAACTCTGCTTCAGCGGAAAAACAAGCACCCGAAAAAAATTATGTAAATAATTGAATTAGAATTTATACGTATAATCATTCCAACGTTCTTGACTGAAACACAAAGAGGAAATTGGTGCACAAGAGGAAAGCTGTCATGATACACCTGGAAATCTTCACAGACGATTCTGGAAGCCTGGAAACTTTCTCTCAAACCCCTTCTTTGATGGTATTGGTGGTCAGGTTTTAGATACTGGGAGTGAAGGTACCAGACAGTGACCAAAATCACCCAAACCCTGCGCTTCTCGTCTGGCTTCAGCGTGACGTGCAAATTGCTGCTGTATTTATCCTCTGTGGTCAAACCTACCTACAATGCAGTGCTGCTTCACCTCTACCAATATGGCCGCTTCCTCGATTGCGTCATCGATACAGCTCTCTCTTCCATAACAATAAGGGTGAGACCTCTGACAGCGAGACGCGGCGGCTGTAAAGGTGCTTCTTTTAAGACAAATGGCGCACGCCTGAGAACTAAGCCTAAAACGAACACCATCCTCGTTATTAAGTACGGAAATCGGGACTCAAACATCTCGGACACCTTCACGGGTCAGGCCCTGGAAACAGTGCTTAATGATTAACACAGCGTCACCTTTGAAATCTGGCCACATAACATCGTGCCACTCGCGGTGTGGCGATAACAGACCCCCCCGCCCCGGTCTGCCCTGGGGGGGTCACAGACACCTCGCTTCCTGTGCCCCCCCCCATACCCCATCCCTCACCTGCTCTTTATTTAAACCACCCCGATCGCTCCCAGCATGTCAGGACAGAGGTGCAAAATCCTGCTGGTGATAAACAAACAGCCTCATCACATGACCCCCCCCCCCTTCCCTCCCCACCTGCCCAAATTACCACCACCGGTTCTGGCAGTGCACCAGCATTCATGTTTCCAGTCCTCTGTTCTTTCCTCACGGCCCCTTTCCCGTAAACACGGTGACTGGATCCGCTGACATTCCCGGCTAATTATATGCCTACTTTGAGGGATCAGCTCTCTGCCCCCAAACGCTGTACCCCGCACCTCCCTGGCTTCCTGGGATTATGTTCACACAGGGAGCACAAATTAACCCATTGGAGCATCTGAGCTCGGAGGCGGGACACGCAGACACCTCCGCAAGGGGAGGGGGGCTCGAAAACAAGTCGTCCAAAACAAGGACACGAAAATAAAATTCCAGAGGAATGACATTAGTGTGGAAACGATTATGTTCAAGATGGTGAGGAAGAGCCCAGCGCTGTGCTGGAGGCAAAATGCTTTAGTACTTTAAATATTTAGAGGTTTTAACATATTTACTAAACCAAGTATTCCCAAAGACTGTAATTATAATAGAAGGCTTGTGACTTTGAGGCTTTGCCATAAACAGATAAGGACACCGTCTCCCCCTCACTAAAGTGGTCTGTAACCACCAAGGCTCTTACTGGAGAGACTGCACTGGGAACCACTGACAAGCCAGGTTGGTAAATACATGTAAACAGCTACTTGGACCTTAACTTTGACATTGAAAGTGCGTCCCAGACAGCATTAATCACCAACAAAACAAAATTCACCCACCATGTGAAGAACAGTAAGAGGCATTATTCACGCTCTCTGATATAAAGAAGCCGTAATTTGTTCTGTGGAATGTGAACAGAGTTTAAGAGGGGGAGATTATAAAAGGTGATTTACGGGAAACATCCATCTTTTTTTTGGCTCAAGAAGCTGGGGACCCTGTGAGCGAGGGCATCTTCAGGCGGGGTTGGGGGGTTGGGGGGCGTAGCATGACCTCTCAGGTCGGCCAGCGTAGCAGATAAAGGTCACTGGACGTCCTCATCTTATAATATGAACGCACTGCACCAGGCTGTTCCTCAGAGAGCTCAGGTACACACAGGTGCCCCTGTCCTAGTACACCCCCCCCCCCCCAAGCTGTCCCCAAAACCCTCAACGTTATGGGAGAAATACCCAACAGTGAAACCGAGGGTGCCATGGACGTCTACTTCAGCTACTCCCGCCCAAACCACACGAACCAGCTCTGAAGTTAGTAGACCATGTCTTCAATGTTACGGCCGCAGAGTTGTGCGTTCTCGTGGACGGGAAGTAACAGGACCTGGATTAAACTAAAAACAAGCTGCCATTGGCCAAGTAAGCTGCAAAAATATGAAACACTTGCAGGCTGCGATATTAGTCACCAGATTAACCAGAAAGGCAGCCATTCCTGTCACCCCCGGCATCTGCACTCTCTCAAAGATCCTTTGTCAGTGCCTGATCCAACGAGTGGACCTCGTGGTCTTCAGGCGGGTGACACGCAGCGAACGTCAGAGCCCAAAAGGATGGCAGAGACCCGGGACCCAGACCCGGCACACGACGGCTAGGAATGGAGTAATTAGACGGGCAGAGAGAAGAGCTCCAGACGGACTGGAAACCACCCTGCTGCTTGAAGAAACATCTGCGTTCAAGAAAAACAAGGCAATTATATGGTGTGGGGGGGAGGAGGGGATGGTAGAGTGTTTGCCCTTCAAAGACTTGGAAACTCATCTGCACCACCCCTTAAGGCTGATCCCGCTGGTCCCCTCCATCAGGCGTCAGTCACCATCCAAAAAGCTGACCAGCCTGCTGCTCTTCAGCAGTTAGGATCAGAGCCACCAAAGGTCACCTAAAGCTCCCAGAGGAAGCCGAGAGCACTACAGAACAGGGGCATGAATCAGGCATGGTGGTCGTGAAAAACCACGTCACACTGATAAATATGCAGCAGCAAACGCAGTCAGAAACAACAAAGCACGCAAAGTCCCCAAATTAAATACGTGGGCTATGAGGTCTCTTAAAAGCCAGATCTCTCCTCCTCTCCTCCACTTCAACTTCTGCCCTGGACAACAAAAGAAAATGGCACGCAAGCAGGACGCCGCGAAAAGACGCAACGACTTTGCTCTTGTTTACTGCGTCAATATCCTTTGATAAACACAGAATCGTACACAAAAGCTTGTTTAAACACCAATTAGGCAGCAAGCAGATCCTCGGAGGAAAATCCTCCTAAGAGGCACAGAAATTAAATCCAGTAAAATCCTCTATGTCTGTGTTCATTTACAGATGAGTCAACGGGGCATGATGGTTAAGAGCAAGTCCTACCATCCAACTCTTGGGAGAGTCAGTAAAATTTCCAGCTTTGGTGAAATTAATGAAGTTAGTTCAGTAATAAAATAATATTAATAGCGTGAGGATAGGTTATTATTAAATAAACCGTCAATAAATCAGACCCCGGTTTATTCCTATATAGCCTGACGATTTTTAATTAGTCGAGAACAAAACGCTCTTCGGTGAGGTGTATGCAAATTTCAATGTCCAACCCGTCACTCGCCATTGCACACACTCACAGCAGGAGATAAGGAACCTCAAGGGTAACAAAGAGATGCTGACAACATAGGAATGAAGCAGCAGCAGCAGGACCAGAAGCAGTCAACTGGGGGTCCAAACAGAGCCAGTGGCTAATGCCATCCCAAATATATACTCAAAGCACATGTTTGACTAACCACTGCCTGACAAGAAGGAAATATTTTTGGAGGGGGGCTCCAACATCCCAAACGCACATGCCATCAGATCACATACCTACGCAACTTTATCCACGGCGTACAGGGGAAGAGAAGTTTGTGGTCATGAAACAAAGACGTTAAAATATGCACGTTTCTCTGTTCTTTTAGCAAATGCATTTATAGGTCAGCCAACAAAAAGGTTCATAAGCAAAACCAGCAGAGATCAGAATCACCACTGATAACCCCACGTTCATTCAGCCTGCAGCGAAACCGGAGACGCGGCACCCCCATTCACACGGCCGGTGTGACCAAGCCACCTTCCACGAAACAGACCCGTCCTTACAGTTAAGCTGCAGGAACTCCAACTGGTCAGCGGAGTGCGAAGAAAACCACCACAAGCTCTTACCTTTCTGGCAATGGTTTGATGTCCAGCAGCGGTAGTTGTAGTTGTTATTGAAGCTGGTCATGATGCACCGAGGGTCGTCCTCCATGACGCCGGGGCAGACGTCGGCACACTCCTTAGACTGCTTATTGCCTGCTATGAAGTTGTTCGAATCAGAATCCATGATGAGCGACCAGTCCACCGAGTCGAGGTAGCACAGCTCCGGGTTCTTCTCGATGCGGATGGCTCCCCTCGTGATGTTCCTCAGGTTGTACAGGCCGATGTCCTTCAGGCTGGTCATCTCAAAGATAACCAGGGCGTAGTTGTAGAAGAGGGTGCGGCCGCGGATGACGGCCAGGTTGGGGAAGAGCGTGCTCAGGGTGTCCAGGCCCGAGACGCGGAACAGCAGCAGATAGTCAGTCACCATGGTGAGTTTGGGGAAGCTGAGGGAGCGGAAGACATCCTGGTTGGCGTTGCTGCCCTTATCGCCGATGAGCAGGATCTGCAGGTAACCCTCCACCACCGTGCAGTTCTCTAGGCGCTTAAACTCGCTGATGTCATTGCCGATGTCGATGCTCGGACCACAGACTGGAAAAAAGAAAGAAAACGACTCTAGCTGTCTGTGACCAGGAACACACAGGCAAAACAGGATTTAAGAAAACGGTTCAGATAAGCTGTGCATTGAAAGTGGTCTAGCGCAGTGTTTCCCAACCCAGTCCCCAGAGAACCTCAGACAGTCCACGTTTTTGCATCCTCTCAGCTCCCAGCACAACTGTACCAGGTATTCGGTGTTCCTGATTCAGCTTCCAACCAATCAGGAACACCGAATACCTGGTACAGTTGTGCTGGGAGCTGAGAGGATGCAAAAACATGGACTGTCCGAGGTTCCCCGAGGACTGGGTTGGGAAACACTGGTCTAGAGAACAATCCATATGACAGAACAGGGGACAACTTGGGGACCATCCCTTCACAGTAGATTACACCTATAGAGGTGCTGCTAAAATGGACATTAACCATCCAGGGGTTATGGATGGTTTACACAAAGAGCCAAAAGTCATGGAATATCCTCAGGGTATCCACTACAGGGCGTGCACGCAAAGGAAGACATGGTAACTAATACAGGGTTACAAATTGACCTGAGGACAGGGAGAATAGGGCAGAGTTCCACCCACGGAGAATGATGACTTCGGGCGCCATACAGATAAACAACACTGGAAACCCCACCAACTGAACCAGTAGTCAAAACGTCTATTTTGTTGTCTGCTATGGGAAAAGTTGACAGCGGTTCAGGGTAACTCGGCTGGTGAAATCATACCTAGCAATCAGGAGAGGAGTTTAAACCACACCGGTGTGTGAACCAAACGTAAAACAAAGCCCCTTCGAGGGAGTCCAAGGTACTGAGAGAAACACACACACACAAACACACACACACACACACACACACACACACACACACACACACAATTAAAAGGTTGAAGCACCTTTGAAGTCAAGCTCTCCAGGGCGCTGCCTTCGAGTTCAAACCATCCACCCTGGATACTGCATGCGGAACAAAGGTCTGAGTCCGGCGCCCACCAGACAGTGCATTCACAAGCCACTCACTCGTAACGCCAGAGATTCAGAAGCTCAAGTGGAACGTGGAAACGCGAAAATCCAAAAGCCAAATACCCCAATAAGACTAAACATATGGAAATGTTTAGCGTACAAATTTAAATTCATCATTCATTAATAGTTCAGCGTAGCTGAGTCACAATATCCGACTGCAGCACATTATTTACAAAGATTTACAGGATTTATTCCCTTCAGTCTGTTTAAAGTCATTTCCTAAATTTAAAAGGGAAGCAATTACCGACCCATACTCTGCTGCGTGCCTTTCATCTTAAAATGCCCCACAGCAAAGGCGACTGGCTGCCTGACTCTTCTTTCAGTGATACATTCTTTTTTGCAACGGCTCAGATTGCCAAGGGCGAAGTGGAGATACTCAAACACAGAGAGTAATTTGTTTATTGGTGAGGAAGAACTCCCAGCTCACTCTTCAGGGTCAGAAACCATTAATAAAAATCCCAAATTCAAGCAAGAGACCAGGAGAGTGAGGAAGGTAATATTCCTTATTGTACCGCTGACGGATGGTTGGCGTCGTTTTCCCACAGAAACTACAGAAAAATGGCTCTAATTAGCTTAAATTAATGCAGGCCAAACCGAAACCTGACCATTGCTTATTGCGAAACATGAGGCTAAATAAAGGAACCAAAGCATTAAGATATGAATGTGTGAACCGTTAAACAACGTACAACGTGGACAACTAGCAGCTGGCAAATATTTGGACAGGCTGCAGGGAATTCGAGGGCAAAGTAATCTCATCCCATAATCTGTACACCAAGAGCACCATCAACCATGAAGGCTAAAGGGCGAGATAACTGCTGAGAGTTGTCACAGATGTGTTCTGGATGTTTCCATGGGCTCTTCTTGGGCCTCTACCAGAAGGCAGTGGTTCTGAAGCAAGCAGCCACACAAGTCTGCACCTGAAAATCAATGTCCATTGATGTAAACACCACTATTCTTGCTAAGTGAATTTGCCCCAAGCGATTTAGCACAGAAGATACCAAACTCTGCTGCTGGAAACAAACCTAGTGAATTCACATTATCTACTTAGCCAGAACAGTTAACATGCTATTGAAATATTTACATTAAAATATCTACATTTGTAAAAATTTTCAAACTAGTTTAGCAGCTCTGCAAACACACAAACCCTTAATTATCTGTGTGACCCCGGAGGTAAAAGTGGGGTGTAAAAATGGCATCTTAAACTTTGCGCCCCAAACCAAAACTTCGGCTCCGTCCCTGAAACCCACCCCACTGCCACCAACGGTGACGAGACTTTGAAGGCCGTTACCCACTGGATCATCCCGCAAACGCCAGCCAAAAGCACGGATCACGCTGTATTTACATAAACAAGCCGTCTCACCCCCATTCCAGATTCGGGAAAGTCCGCTGCAAGACAATATCAGCTAATTAAAGCGTGCAAGAAAGGGGTAAAGCCCAAGTCAGCTGAGGAGAAGAGAACAGGAAATCAGGTTGACAGCAGTCAAAAAACCTCAGCTCCATTCCTATTGTTATGATAAGTACCTGGTTAAGTGCTCAGACACTAGTCTTTGTCTTTGAGGAGGAATAAGCCTCTGTAAACTTGTGGGAAACTTGCTGCCTTATCGGTCTGCCATCAGTTTGGACAAACAGCTTTAAAAAAAAAAAAAAAAAAAATCTAAATTCACCGCAGGGAAGCAAACTAACTCACAGAGTAGCTCATTTAATCTCGTGTCTCCTCTTTGCCACAAACTGGGTTAACACAAGAGATTTCCTTGTTTTATTTTTTTATGCTGTCTTAGACATGCCTCAGCAACTGAAATACTTCAGGTCGATGAGCTGGTCAATACTTCTGCTAGACCGCAGCGATACGCCTGCCCAGGAAAGAGGAAGTGGGCAGCAGGTCTGCACCCATCCACACTATCTGATCACTGTATTGCAAGCGTGCCTCCTCGCAACAACACCGGAAGACATTGAGATGTTAGACGTTAACTCACTGGATGGACAGGATCTCCAAATTTGAACGCACGCGTTACGAGAAGCTCAACATTCTCCATACTGTCAAACCCACATAAATGCATTTGCCAAAAGATCGCCTAATGGAGGGGAGAGCTGAAGCAGCAACAAGGGCACTGTTTAGGTGACGATACTTTTTGAGTTGCCGGAAAAGTTGCCGGAAAATGTCGCCGACAAATGATACTTGGGCACTTTCCCACTGATTCTGGGCAAAATTTTTCTACTTGAAAAACTTTGGATTGACAGTAGGCAAATTCCCCCAATCATCCAGATCCAGATCAGTTGCCCTTTGTCTCACCTGGCTGGCAGTTGCCCGGTAACATTGCTCAAAAAAGTTGCCCTGTGTATCATCACCTTTTGAATCCTGAAGGGGTTGAATTAGGACCCTCTAGCAAAAGCAGCTGATCTGAACAGCTGACTAAACAGGACAAATCATGGATTACACTAGGTAACACTCAGCTGAAGGTAATTCAATTTGGGAAGCGACAACGGCAGTCTGGGAGCTCGGACATCCCAGTTCCATCGCAGAAAATGCACGTGAGGGTGGAAAAGTGGGTCGAGACACAGGCTCCGTAAAGTTTCTGGGTCTCGACTAAGTCGTCTCACTACTCCTGAGCTCAATTAAACCTGCACTGCAGCAGTTAAACCTGCACCACACAGATGTGTGAACTCTAACTCACTTTGAATAAAATGATCTGAGCACCATTAAAAGATGGTGAAGCCGGTTGATGCGACTGAGCTAGCATACCAACATGAAATGCAGAATTAAAAAATGTTTCTCAAATGTGGCTGTTAGAAATATTTTAGAAAAACAATTCCTATAAAAGTGACCCAATGGAATGACAGAAGCATGCAGACGTGACACCAGCATTCATGTGAAGTCTGGTGAAATCAAGTAGGGAATTAGGTTTTGATCAGAGATGGGAAGATCACTGTTCCATTGGGGTTGACTGGAAACATCCATAAGGGTGTGACCGCTGCTACTAGTTCTCAGAAAATACATGCCGTACCTCTGCGCTAAGCCCCAAAAGTGCAAGTAGCTGCCTGGGCTTGAATAATCCTCTGGTAAAGCTGTGATGCGCCTCGCTCCTGGGTACGGGCCACCCTTTCCTAGGACTTGAATCTACAAGCATCAGGTCCTTAAGCACCATGGCACTGGGCTGCAGCCAGTAGGGTTTCCTCTGAACCCAGGTCACCTCCTCACCACATGGGCATTAATCCCCTGCATGCTGGCAGCTGTGCCATCGCCAGCCCCATGCCCCACACCAGCCCACTTACGCTCCCCATGCCCAGCTCAGATGTCAGAGCACCGCCAGTAACACAAGCCAACTGCCTCGCTAACCCACTACTGAGCTCCGGTAAAGGACAGCGGCGCTGGGTGACATTGTCTCAGCTTTTGGTTACGGACAGTGCGTCATTTCAGACAGGCGAAGCGCGCTTTCAAATTACACACAGCGCTGTTGAGAACACACAGGCGGAAATGAGAAACCCTTCTTTCATGGGCTAAACCTGCCTACCAAGGCTACCATCAAGCGATAAACAAAAAAAGCACAGACATACCCATACATTATATATACTAATAATACATAAACATTAGAGCGGCGCGTTATTTACACCTTATCATAGTAAGCCGATAACATATAGCCAAAGGCGAGTGGATGAGTTACTTCCTGACACCTGGATAAGCAGTCAGCACAGACAGAGAAGGAAGGATGGATTACATTACGTCTCTTTTCAGCTGTAGCCTGTGGCTTTGCCAGACGGGAACCATAACACATTATCCCTTTGTCACACATACAGGCCAACAAGCAAGGACACGTGGTGGCAAGGGCAGTGCTGGTAAAGTTAACAAAAACATTGGGGGGGGGGGGGGCAAGCATCCTTGCTAACACCTGCATACCATGACTTCTGAACTGCCAACTGTCGTCACCCTTATGCTTTCAGATGCTTTTTCTCACGGTTATGCAAGAAATCTTAAAGCAAATCTGTGTTATTCCATTAAAAACCTGAAATTAGCTACATCAAAAACACTGGGGTAGTTTGGAAACCCTACAGACTATTTAGAAGGTAATAAAACTGCTATGTATGTGTAAATGCGTGTGAGGACTTGACAATCTCACTCTAGCCAGCTGACCAAAGTTGGCAACGCTGCTAGACGTATAGGGGATCAGACACGACCAGCCACGGGAAATGCACACTGCCTAAATTTAATCGCACAGATTTGCCTACGTGCAAGGAAACATGAGGTACAGGGAGACAAACACGCCACGGAAAACTGCAGAAGCTTCTAAACCGCTCTGAGTGTCGCCTCCATTAAACGCTGTTAGTGAATTGAAATGATTTACAAACACTGAGGGCGCCTGCCGAACCAAACGTCTGAGGTTAGTGCCGTACGCTACACAAACACACAGGCTAACACCAATAATGTAGCTCCTTGTTAGAAGGAAAATGGCAAAAAGTACACTTCGGATTTTTTTGAGATCCTTGACATATTTAGCTTAGACAAGCCATTCTCTAGTTGTTCGATAAGACGCAGAAAATGCTGATAATGTTTCACAATTCAAATTGCAGCGCATCAGGAATTTCGTTGCGTTTCCAGGGTTTCGCATCACCACCACACGGGTAAAATTAGATCCCGCACGACAAATATAACAGAGCCCAATGAAGTTACCCGGCCGGCAGACATCTCTCAATATCGATATCATTAGCATGACGGCAAAGGCAGCGCCACCACTGCACAGCGGAACAGGGGGCTGAGCTCTGGCTGTTCTCAGGCTAAACACAGCATTTGCTGTTCCAGTGCATGCGAAGTAATCCAACATGCAAACCACAAACCAGGCATGTGAAACGCGGATTGACTTACCACCTAAATGTAATAATTAGCAACTGTTGTATGTCCAAAGTCCTGCAGAAAAATCATATCAAACTGATACTAAAAATGGAAATTGTGGATAAAAAGATGCTTGTCCATAATTTCAGATTCTATGCAATAAAGATTCAAATCTTTTGAATACTTAAGACAAAACCCGCTATCTGGACGTTTCCTGTGGCAGTTGGGAGATTCAAAACAAAAGTGGTGAAACTGGTCAGAAACCACTACCAACTTCACAGTTTGTAAACCACAAGGTCAAACACAAGGGTAGGCCTGGCCCCTTCCTGTTTTCAACAGGGGTAATGCTAAAAAAAAATCATAGCTGGACATCATTTATCATTTTAGGTTGTGTGAAAATGTAAAGGCTGCGATCATTTCATTTCATTCATGTGTTACAGTGGAGGTCTCAGATCAGTACTAGTGTGGCTCCTAGTCACTACCAGCAGTGAATTTTCATGCAAATATATTCATTTTATTTATATATATACACTATATTACTTCTCCATATGTCAGGCCTGGAAATAGTACTGTCACAGCCATTTACCGAATCCATGGAAAACCAGGTCGTAACACTGCTTTGGCAGCAAATGTGTGTCACTTAGACAAAAGCGCAATAGGGGTATTTCCATACATTCCTGAATATGCCTTCATTAGTTCATTTGTCTTAAAGGAATATGGAATTTCTGGCATTTAAGATTTTGAAATGTTTTGAATGAATCCTTCTCTCAAAATAACTGATGAATAGTTGCCTCCATAAATCTGGCTCCTGTATTTCACTGTTTACATAGAGTCCTCTTGATTATTAACAAAAAGCTACTTTTTAGACTATAGGCCTATCAAATGAGCAAGTAATTACATTTTATTAACAGAGAGCCAATCACTGCAGGACATGGTGTGACGAACAAGTGGATAAAGTGAAGAAGGGCGGGAAACAAACAAAGTCCGTCCTGCTGAATGTCATGGAAACTAAGATGCAGCCATATACGTCTCCCACATGCTGAATTTCCCAGCACATAAAATACATGTAAACATGTTTTTCAGAAGAAAACTAGAAACTAATCCACAAGTAAATGACAAAACACTCCCTCTATTTACTTTAAGATCAGGGGGGTGTCTCACAAAGCAGGATTTCTCAGTGTTCGTTATTACTGTCCAGTAGAAATGCTGCTTATTGGACAATCATGGCTTCAATCTTAAATTAACCCAGCTAACTGAGAATTTCTGTTTCGCAGCGTAGCATACAACCCCACCCCCTCCCCTCCCCTCCCCAGAATGAAACTTTAAGGATTAACTAAACCAAAACACACATCGCAGAATGCACTAAGAAAGTGATTTGGCAACGTGCAAAACATAAATCTGTGTAATGGTTTGAGTTACACTGGCGCCGGAGATCCTCTATTCTGCGGCATCTTACTCCTTTAGGTTTTGTTTACTGCATTCCTTACGGGTCACGCCGTCCACCTGCAGTCATCCGCTTTCCACCTTGCTTCCCACAGACCACAACAAAGTATCAAGTAATATATCAGCTTAGTATCAGAAGCAACAGACCACCATCGAGCTTTCCGGGAAATTCCATATAAAAATATACCTAAATTTAAAGAGAACTGAAAAATACACCCATTTTGGCACCAACCAGTCAACCTTCCGATTCTGCTTGTTTACAATCCGGGACTCAACACTGACCGGCTGCACTCAGTCCTGTACTAATGCATCATCCTACAATGCCGGTGTCACCGAAATGCAGCGATTTCAGGCGTTTCGGGGGCGGGAAAACGGCATCAAAGCTGCGGCGGCGTATTTCTACCCGACGCCGACGACATGCGTGGTCGCCATGCGCCTTTTCCAACATCAAACGACGCGATCTTTGCTCCCACACGCAGAATTACAGGATCTTCACCCTGGACGTCCGTCCGGCGCACGTTTTACACACCGGCTCCGTAACTCAAACGCAGCGATCGAACATTTTCAATCAGTGTCGCGAAACGTGCTTTAGCGCAGCATGACTAACGGCGTACAGTAAATACGCGGAACCAAAATACAGCAAAAAAGCAGATGATAATTTTTTTATATCACATACGTTCCGCTCACACCGAAACTACTCGGTAAACGGACGAGTCATTGTTGATATGAAAGTTGGGATAAAGCAAGAAGTATAAATAGCACCAGAAGTGCACTGGTATAAACATCCAAACATATGAAAACATGCGTACCTCACACGCTGAAGAAAATGCGCTTTCTATTTGGGGAACAAGCTTGTTTAACCCGCCGAGTTTCTACACATAACAAACAGTTGAATCAGTCTGTTTTCGTGTATGTTACCATATTTGCTGTTGTCCTAATGGAAAACATTGTTAAATATTTAAAATGAACTCAACTATTCTACAGTTTCAAATGGCGAGACCCCCCCCCAGACAGCTGTAAGGTTAACCATACGTCCAGGAAACCTTGTTTTCCGACTGATCAGCCCATATTAAACTCAAAATTTCTTACCAAAGGTAAAACTACTTAGCTGGCATGCAAATATGCAAAACCTGGCTGAACGATGGACTAAACAATCCCGTATCATACATGACGATAAGCCAAATGTTACAGCAAAACACGTTATTGCTGGGGGCTGTTGATGTCTGCAGGAGATACTGGATCCAGAACATAGACAAATTAACGAATAATAGGGCTATCAATAATAAGTCAAATAATAATGATAACAGCAGCAGTAAGCCACGAATGGACAGATATGCAAACTTACTTTCTCCATTTGCGGGCCACATACAGGTCGTGTAGATCGAGAGTAACAGACCCCATAACAAGGTCAAATTATTTCTTTCTGTCCCAGACCACATTCCTGTTAAATGCATCGACTTAAAATGCAAGAGGTCTTTTCTCAAAAAAAGAGACACTGAACTTCGGAGTCGTCTTCACAGTTTTTCCTTTTAAGAGATGTAAATGGGAGCAGGATGAATACCTAGTTAAAATAATTGATTTGTCGTAACGAGATCGAGATCTTTATTTTTGTCCGTAGCGTGGATTCAATCGTCTCGAAATGGGTGGTCTCTGATCGGCGTTTATTTTTTTGTTCCCTTTAGAAGAAAAAGATGGTCATTTGCAGTCGACTCAAAAAGTCTTGTTATTCTTGCCAAAAATACAAGAATGTATGTGAGGTTAACAAAAAACACGAGTTGGCGAATCCAGTCGTCTGATAGTAATCCGCATCTTCAGCCTCCATTTCTTGTTTTAAAAAGGATGTACACGTAGCTAAGCCAGCTAATCTTACTAAAACAGAGGCCAAAAACAGAACACCTAGTATATCTTCCTATCGTTTTAATGAATTATCCTATTAATAAACGTGAAAATCAATCCCAAGCCGAATTCACAGCCTGCAGCGTTTCGGCGCATGTAAAACGGGCGAAGGAAAACGCAGAGCCCCAATTCAGCGGGCCCTCCCCAAGCGGCTCGGATACAAATATCCACCAGAGCAAAAATGGTCACACCGACTGCACCCCCTTTTTTATCCCTCCGTCGTCGGCGGTCCGCTCTGCAGTTAAAAATTTGCAGCTAGTTGGCCATCCCTTCCCTGCCACGCAAGACCGAGCGCCTTTAGTTTCGCTGTTCCCGTTATACCTTACGCGCACGATTCACATATTAATCGCTATAAGCAGGGCGAAAGCCCCCCTGTTCATTAAGCTCGATGGCCTTTCTCTGAATTATAAGCGCAAACTGGCAGCTGTGCGGTAAGCAGGCTTCGACCGTCGGCGTCCGCTCCGTAAAAATCAGCGCTGTAAACAAGGGGCAGCTTCGTTCACACATACATGTAGGGCAGGCGCAGCCAGGGAGGAAAAGCTGGAGCGGAGCGGAGTGGGGCATGGCCAGCAGAGGTAAACACATCCATCGCTTCCTGTGTTTCCCTTTCCATCTTGTGCGCCAGAGCTTACAAATGCAAGAAATAATCATAAAAAATATACACTGGTTAATTTGATGGTGATGGAGAATGGCAATAATAATAATAATAATAAATATATTCCAAATTTACGCTTCTTTGCCCTTCTCAGGCGGTTCTAATGTAGACCTACAATCATAACTTCCAAGTTAATTAAAAAAATAACTTGATGTTTAATCACTAAAATTAAAAAATGTCAAATATTCAACCTTATTATTATAAACTCAACTTTATTATTTTTATTATTGTATTTGTTTGTTTCAGAAATACGTGTACATTGCAAAAAAAAATGAGTATGTGAATACGCATAAATAAGCAGGCCTACATGATATATGAAAGATGAATGAACAATATGAATGAATTGGGGGTGGTTCTGAACTAAGCAGAAGTAGGCTGTTTCCCTGTCTATTGCTGCAATTCTTCCATGGTGAATTTTTCCATGATTTTTTCCCTCTAGTTCGGTTTTGTTGACCCATACATTTCCTCTTCTGTGGCCTAATCTTTTTATAAATTTGACAGCGGTCGTTCAGATTAATTACTGACTGCTGTTCCTTCGAGCTGTTTGTATTGAATGACCGATCTAACCAGAACCCAAATCCAAGGCCATGAAAATAGCTTCACTCGCTGAGATGGATTTATTTGTTTGTTTGTTTATATATTTATCTGTTTATTTCTTTGTACGTTGTATACCAGTGAAGCTGGTACTTTAGAATATCTCCAGGGACAATGTATATGGTGCTGAACTGTAGCTATATGCAAAGTCCTTGGTAAACAGCAGAAAGGGGGCCGGGCTGCCGATTCCACTATCCAGGTCTGAACTTCATCGCCCCAGCTCCGTATTTTCGTTGTGAGCATATTTTGCCTATGACTCACTGTCGCCTTCAGTAAACGCGAATACCTGGCATGGAGTTTCATTCAAATATATGGATCGAACCAAGGATCCCCATTCATGCTCGACGCACACACGACAGGCAACCAAGAAGCGTTCCCCGTACGGGCGAGAGAACTATATTTAGACTTGTTTATGTTGTGCTTTTGTTACAACACTAATAATTTCCTTGGCCACAAGGCTTAATTTTCTGCATAAACCTGTTACATTTTGTCTGCACATGTTTTTATTTCTAGAATAAAAAATCACCACCCCGTGTGCTGGTTTGTCACGACTTGTTGAGTTGCGTATTTTTTCTGGGCCCCCTGATAAATAATTTCTGTCAAAGTATGTAGGTAATTAAAGGAAAAATATGATAACAGCTAACTGTGGTATGCTTTGGCGGAATAACAATTAAATATAGGCTACGTTATATGAAACGCGGTGAAAACAATCGAATCTAGTCTGGGTTTATTTAAGACGCCGCTGTTATAAATATTATAATGTTATAATGTATAAATGTTATAAATTAGAAAAGTTTTTCTTCGTAAAACGTGCAATTGTAGCCTACATACTCCTGACTAAAGTAATCGCATTGTGTGTGTACGCATAAATATTCCAAATAATTTATTTTTATTATATGAGGCCAATAAATTATTCAATATATCATTGTGCGTGCACAGAGTTGGTTATATTGGCGTGTGTGATCCCAAACACAACTCGTTAATCTTATACAACTGATTTAAAAAATTGATACGAGTAAACAGCTAAATTACCAACAGTGTTCCGTTGTTTTAACAAATAAATATTAAATGGCTTTGGGTGCTTTATAATCACATACACACATGCATATTTAAACACATATACACACACTTAATTGTTTGTTTGTTTGTTTGTTTGTTTGCAAGTTAATTTTCGCAGGTTTCAGTAGTAAAAATGGTCTCACACGATTTCACTCATTATGCTGACTTTTGTCCCCTCCGTATAGTCATATCAGAGTTGACGCAATTTAAATTCAATTAAATTAAGATGACTATATGTGTTGAGTGTTGTCAGTTGTATAATTACTCTACTTCTTGATTTTCTAATTATGCCTGTTTAATACAGTGTAATGACAAGTTGAAAACGTGAAATTATTTTGTCGTATTCCAAGGTATGTTTCAATTTGTGTTTTTATTGTAATATAATTTTGTGAAATAAATGTTCGGATAAGAACGTACAATAACCGTGAAGTGGTGGTTTTATGAAGAATGACTTCCTTCATCCTTTTAAGCGATCTGTTCTGTCCGCTTATTTCCACCTGTGTTCGTACCGCCACCTAGTGTGGAAATAAATCAAAGTGCAAGGCGTCGTGTTTGCTGTTGAGGTACTAAAGAGAACATCCCAGTTAGACCACAAAATTTACTTCGGTTACTTATCCAAAACGTATATTTTAAGTATCATCATCAATAATTATTTTGGAATGCAGGTGAAACACTTGCATAACGCAAGGATGATGTTCGAACCCACAACACTTAAGTCGTGAACCAATTATGTTTCCCGTCGATCAGCTGAGGTGCTTCTGAGGCGCTGAAAACGATCTGCGGGGCTTCAAACACGCTGAGACGCACACGAATTGCGGGAGCATGAAATAAACCACAGTTCGTTAATGCCACATCATTTATTTTCTTTTAGACCACAAAGAGAAATTGACAGAATACAATACACACTGGGACACAGTGAAAAGGCACACTGAAAATAAAAAGCTGGACAAAGGACAGTTCTCAAACTTCTTGGTGGTCTGAGCTCATCCTAAAATGAGAAAAGTGCCAACCCCCCCTAAAAAACCAGTGTGGGGAAATAATAATACTCAATGAACCTGACACATTTAATTATGCTTTTAATTATGGGAGAAGTTCATATAGAAAAGAAACCACTGAACAGAGATAGGCCTAAGCCAGAAAATGGTCCCTCTCTCCAAATTCCACCATCAAAAAATGAACGAAGAACCGATGGGAGCGCTGCGATCGTTCTTCCGGCGCTTTCGTGCCGCGGTGACGTGACCCTCCGCCCGCATTTGCCAAGTCCTCATAAACAGTCATCCCAAGCGAGAGGCGGACGGGCCACCTACGTTGACGCCTCCTAGTCCACATTTGGAAATAAACGCTCATCAGCAGCGGGTCACTCATGCTAATGGACGCGTTTCTGGCTGCGCCAGAGCCAAGGAGAACAGAACAAGGACACATGACGAGTGGAAACCCAAGTCGACCAGATGCAAGATGCGTCCAGGATACTTAAATTTATAACGCCGGTAAAAAAGTGTTTTTCCCATGGTCCAATAATTTATTCTGGTTAGGATCACTTTCATGTTATTCCAGGAGGACCACTGGACCGATACCAGCCTCTAACATGGTACATACTCTCTCTCAGACTCTCACACACAGACACAGACATGTTTGTATTCATATCTTTGTTGGGACCATCCATTCATCTTTATGGGAAAAACCCTAATCCCACCTATGCCAACCGTAACCCCTACCCAGCCCTAACCTTATAACCATAAGTAACCAAATAAAACACAAGACTTTTGGGATTTTTAGGTTTTTGATTGCCGGCACAGCTAGATATTTTTTTTTTTATAAAATTGAGTTTCCCCCTGGTCCCCACAACATAAAAAAACACATTTTAACACATTACGGGGACATTTGGTCCCTACAATGTAATATGTAAACCTTACATTGTACATATTACAACCCCCCCGCCCATCCACGACACACACACACACACAGACTCAAGTTCATTTAAGCCACAGTCATTTTTGGTTTTCCTAACATTTTATTGTGAAAACTATAGCAAAAACAAGAATAAGCATTTGTGATTTACAGGACAGGCTGCCACTGTAATATGATCTGGGATTTAAAAATGTGTAACTACGTCTGTAGTAATTTGTGCTTGTTCATTAATCTGGGGCAATATTAAACAAGTCACATAAAGGGGGCAGGATATTAAAGGAGCCTCAAGGTAGTGTTGTAGTTCTCGAGACCGGTCTTGGTCTCGAGACCGGTCTTGAGACCAATTTTTTGTGGTCTCGGTCTTGTCTTGGTCTCGACTCTATTTGGTCTCGGTCTTGTCTTGGTCTCGACTCTATTTGGTCTCGGTCTTGTCTTGGTCTCGGACATAGCGGTCTCGATG